AAGATTAATTCCCCATGTTTTAACAAATAAAAGTAGTCCAGCTGCTAGCAAAGAACAGAAAGGGTGAAAAGGAGAGTTCATAGTCAATACACAAACAAGAGACAATTTTCAATTATGTAAAATTAAAGAAACAAAGGGAAAGAGATAATTTTCAAAAAGTGGCCTTCTCAGCATCAGAAGCTCTCTGCTTCATAAAGTTCCTGCATAAACCACAACATAAAAAATAACAGATTCTGACTACATCAATGGAAGTTATATCAAAATCACACACAGAAAGTGTAGCATCAGTTGCAACAAACAGAAATTGAAATTTATCTTCGTGCAAGAATACCTTTTTGATCCAAAAATCTAAGTACACTGAATGAAAACACACGAAAGTGTAAAGCTAGATAAGGAAGAAAATGTTTCTTGGTATGGTATGTCATTCAAATAAAAAGAGAGACAATGGACTAAGACGATCATATTGAAGGAGCTTTATTTTTTGGTAACACATTTCTATAATTCTTGGATTTTGTTCAACCACTTGAACACTAATCACAAGAAAAAAAATCAGCTCTCAACTTGGTGAAAGAAGAGAAGGAAGTTTCGGTATATATTATACATGTCTATTGTCTCTCTTCATGTTAAAAGAACTGGGATATTTGGTCCATCTCTTCCTTTGATCTCATTGTTCTAGTGTCATTTTACTATAAAAACTAACATAGTACGATTAAAGCAGGTATTCTCACTGTTCATATGCACATACGCCTGATATAATACTATTTTGCCATTATTCATAAAATATGGAGCATCTCCATACTTTAAGAATAAAGCTTATGGACACAAAGGTAAATAACAAATTCACTAAGAAGATGTAGGAAGGCCGATGAAGTTCAAATTATACAGTCAGTTCGCAGATGTAATAAATTGTATAAGATTTTTTAAATTGCTATTCTATATCCAAATTTCAGATCTTTCTAATTTCAGTAACTGTAGACACTATTTGTGTTCCTTTATGTCCCCTTTTAACCAACTTCATCATTATTTGAGCAAGTTATGAATGACTCTGCTTTAAGTTGCAGTCTTTTCAATAATCTGTAAATATATATGTGTTTGTGAAGTTAACATTAATTCACATCTTCCTCTGCTTCAGAATTGATATGCACATTCAATTTTCGCCCCATTCTATAAGTTGCTTATATTATGCCATTTCAACATCGTTTATCTATTTCTTATCAGATTGAACACTAAATAGAACTGATTGAAGGATATGATATCAATCTGTGGGCATCTCATCCATCCTCACATCTAAGGCACAAAAATATGAAATTAGACATGAATTTTCTAAACAAATTCATGCTTTTTATAACCCATGAGAGGAAGAAGAAAAACAAATAAGGTCACTGAAATTAAAAGGTACATCTGTTGGATTACACAGCTACCCCAAATTGTGAAACATCATAGTTGAACCTTATTTTGCTCCGTCAAAATCAAATTAACGCAGTCCACAAACGTCAAATCGATTCTTACTGCACTTTAAAAGAGTTGAAAGAGATGAAAAGTAGGATTAAATCCAGAAAAGCGCGAAATGAAGTGCACAAAAACAGAGGCGCAACAATATATCATCAATTAGGTTAGAATTTTAGGCGAAAGCAAGCTTAATCTTCCATGAAAGATTCAAAACATCATAAGAATACTATCTTAATTCTTAACTCTAAATAAAATTTATAGTCAGAAAAGGTTGGATAAACAGAGGGGAAAAAAGAAGACAGACCTCACCTAATAACTGTAGAGGCAACATCACCGAGAGAGAAGAGTAAAACTGAAGAAAGTATCAAAATCTGGACAAAGAACACTTTAGACGAAGGCGTTCGTGGATATGAATATTTAAAAGAACCCAGCAATTTTACTTTTTGTTCCTAAACGTGTCAAAAGAAGTAGCACGTGCCCAAACAAAATTTACCATCAAATTTACCAAAATACCCATGAACGACCCCAAGCTCCTCTCCTTAGCGGCTTCTATAATAGTAGTAATAACAAGGAAATCCAAAAGATTAAGGCGAATATGAGCAACATGAGTGCACTTGTCCATTCCTACTGCATTTGCCTGATAATTTAGATAATACTGATCCATATCAACTGTGAATAGTTTCAGTCTCAACGTATCTGTTTTGTCAGGCCTATAAGTGATCTTTTAAAAATGGCAAAATACCTTAAATCACCCTTAAATTTGGCTTAGATTATAAATATCCTCCCCGAATTATGCCTGATCTTAATTACCCCCCCTCAACTTGGCCTCTTGAGAAGCATTACCCCCCTAGACGCTGATGTGGTAAAAAGTGTGGGTGCACTCGTCTGCCACGTGGATTTTTCTGTCTATGTGGCATTATTTTGAAAAATAAAATATTTTTTTACCTTTTTAAGAATATTACTTTTTAGATAATTTTTTTCGAATACAATTTATAATAAAACTTGGATAGAACTACATTATTTAGGCTAGATATTTTTATTTGACCAAAAATAATAAAGTTTTAGTTAATCTCTTTTTAAATGTGACCTGAAAATAAAAATTTATACAATTGAAATAAATAGTCAAGGCATCTAAAAAGTTATAAAAAATACATAGTTTGAAATTAACTATTTTGACTATAATTTTTATATAGCTCTAAGTTACGGTGCTCTAATTTTTTTTTTTTTTTTTTTTTACAGATTTTACCTAAAAAAGTAAAAATACACAATTGAAATAAATAGTCATTGCATCAAAAGAAGAAATAAAAAGAGTGTACAATTGCAAGAAATTACAAGTGCAATTGTACACTCTTTTTATTTCTTCTTTTGATGCAATGACTATTTATTTCAA